TATATATATAGAGAGAGAGAGAAGCAGGAGCAAGATGCTTTAGTGAAACCGAAGTTGGCCTTCCAAGCTGCGCTCGTCTTGTGCACTGCATCAGCAAATTACAGTGTAAACAGCCTGAGGTTGGAGTACACAAGAACAGTGGTAATCCTTTAGTCTGGATTTGTCAGCAAGGGCTGGCAGAGCCTGCAAGAGGTTCCTTTTGGCACCTTTTTTTTTTTTTCCTGGGAAGCAGGATTTTCAGCAAGCAGGACAGTAATTTAAAAAAAAAGAAAAATTAAACTCAGATTTTCCTTAAAATAAACGTACCATCAGAATCCCACTGATCACTTATTTCACAAGAAACCTTGAACCCCTCCACTGAGAGAGAACTGGGGAACCTTCCCAGCCAGGAGAAGAATATTTAAAACATTTTAGATGTCATCGTTAACTGTGGGACGCAGGGCCTTCAAGAACTGCCTTCCCCAAGGACGCGGCCAGCAGGTCAGAGCTCCGTGAGCTGGCGATACGCCTAGGGGAGCTGAGAAGGTTTTCCTGCTCCCTTTATAAAGCTGAAAAACATTGGCCCAGGGCGTATCCAGCTGCGCGTACCTCTTTCAGCTTCACACTCGGGGGAGGATGCCCCGCTGCATTCGCTTCGGGGGCCAAGGACAGGAAAGATCATCCCGAACTCTGAGAGGGATACGGGGCTGGGCAGATCCAGGCTTCCGGGTCGCGTCGCAGGAGGAAACTGAGCGGGCACCTCACAGGGACTTGTAGGACCAGAGCTGAAGCTGGACACCGACTGAGTTTCCGAATCTTCTTCGGATACGAAGCTGCTGCCGTTGTCATCCTCAAACACTTCTGAAGCCACTGCAATGTTCAAAGAATATTCCAGTCAGCAAACCTACCCCCCTCCTGCACCTTTGCGGGCAACAGCAGTTTCTCGTGTTTGCGTCTCCCATTCACGCACGGCCTGCTAACCCACAGGCTGCTGCTTCTCAGACCCTGCACCCTTCGCAAAGCCTTACCCCCGCATTTCACACACGGATCGCGAAGGCCTGATTCTGCTTTGAGGAACAGCACACCTGCCAGCCAGGCTGTGCAAGACCAGCTCTACACCAGCTACTGCTCCTCGTGCCAAGGTGCGCTTGGATTTTTACTGTCCCTGCTGCCCAGCCGGCCTTGTTCACTTGTGCTCTTCGGTACGTATCTTGGGCCAGGGTTTAGTCCCCTGTGCCTGCCTCAGCCAGCACCATCTTGATCCCAGCACAGACTCCTGGTTAAGTCACTAATTAGAAAGATGTAACTCCAGGGGCAGATCGCTTCCAACTTATCTTCCCACTGGTTAAAACCCAGCATGAACTCCCAAGATCTCTTTTTGGATGAGGATCACCAAGCAACACCAAATTCAGAAAAGTCCCACCCACATTCTCCCTGCTCAAGTTTGCTCAGATCTGAATTCTAATTAAAGCAAACCAGCTTCAAACTGTCTGGCTAGAATAAACTGCTGTCTCTTCGTTAGCAACAGAGGAGGAATCCATTAAAAACGGTTCCGTTTTGTGCAACATAGGGGTGTATAGATTTTGCTACAATTCAACATTTTTCAATCTTGGCTCATTGCGGGATGGGGACTTATGAACCAAAGACTTCTGCACACAAGTAGACCCGCTGGGATCAGAACGTTTTTTTACATGCATCAGCCTTTACCCAACAAAAGCATGCACTGGAATCATGCTGGTCTGAAGAAGTCCCACGAACAGCAAGACATTTACAGCGACCTGAGGTTATCTTCGATTACGCCTCCTTGCGATTCCTGCCATTGTTAGAGGGGCTCAGAACCGCCTTGAAAGAGCGGCAGGACCAAAGCAGCAGTGTTAACAAAATGGCTCAAAGGAGAAGTTTCAAAGTAGTTGTTCTGTTACCTGGCAGCCTGGGGCTCACAGGCACCGCTCGGACGCAAAGGGTGCCAGAGGCAGCTACGTCATGGCTACTGCAGAGGTGTTCAGCCTCTTTCTGCTGGATCTGCAGATTGCAGAACTGCACTTACACATTGCGGAATTGACCGAAAAGGCTTCAAACAAAGTGGATAACAGCATTATCCACCTTCCTGAGCCCCCTCCAGGGCACTTTGTGCTCAGAGACAGTTTGTTGTGGTTTGGGTTTTGTTTTTTAATGATGTCAAATGCAAGACCGCAGAGTGGCCTGTCTTCTCACTTGCTGTGTTTTACCAATGTATCGTGAGCAATACAGACACCTTCACAGGGGGTGAAAGCAAAAAAGAAAAAAAGGTTGGGCAAAAAAGATGTTTCCAATTACAGGAGTCCTCCTCTTGGCAAGAAGCACTGACATCAGCCAGTCTGCAACAAGTGCAACTAAAACTGTAGCTTATTTATCACCATCTACACTTACTATAGCACACAGGAGCATCTGCTAGGGCCAAGAAACTCCTGCTGAGGAGGTGTTTTACTCAACTCCAGCAGACAAAAATCAAGGTATAAAAGGGTCTTGGTGGAACATTCCCCACATTACAATGCACGAGAGCTTAATCTGTCGAGGCTATTTTGGTTATTACGTCTGGCAGGCTGCTAGTCCTGCCCTGTCGTAACCCAGTTCTGCACTGGCACTAGATGCAACCTGGAGTCCTTCCACCTATGTCAGGCTGTGCAATTCAAAGCGAGGGATGAGCCCGTGCTGGCAGTCCTTGCCCCCAGCCTCAGCAGTGGCCAGGAGGGCTAGCAACTGGTTGCTCTGAATTAACTTTCTTGGCTCTTTCTGGCCCCTACATACGAGGTCCCTGAACTCCTTCAGCACAAGAAAACCCTCAACTCAGTTACACCTATGGCTCTTGGGAGGCCTTCTGCGCAAGGAGGGGGACTTGTGGGTGTCCAAAGAGGCAATCCCTGCCTGACTCAGAAAGGCTCAGCCTTGGGACTTCAGGGTGGCAGAAGACATACAGCCATACCAAAACCCCACTGCATCAGCTGGCCCAGGCACCACACTCGCCTGCTGTGGCAACTCAGGTCCCAGCTGCACAGTCCCGAGAGCGCTCCAGCACATCACGCGAAAACTCCTGCCACTGCAGAGGACGGAGGCCAGCCCAGGGCTGCCTCCCAGCTCCCACGGCACAGACGGGCTGTGCCATGGACTACAAGGGCCTCAGCACCTGTGTGCACCAGCTCTACAAGGGAACTGCACGTTCAGCCTTTGGGCATCGGGGTTGTGTAATCATGAACTCATGCAATCCTGAGCTAGACTTTTCCCTGCAGAAATGGAGCTGAAATATAAACATAACTGGGATTTGTGGGACTGGGCAGCAAAAAAAAAAAAAAAAAGACTTTCTGCATCAAGAAGGGGAGAAAGGGTCCAGGAGGGGGGAAAAAGCAGGTCACATGCAACGCCCATCTATCCACTTTCACCCAGAGCCAGGACAAAAGCAAACTCACAATACAACAGACCGTTCCAGTCTTTGAAACCCACGGTCCCCATGTGCCACCAGAAAGCAGAGGTTACCCAGGCTTAGAGCTTGCTTGGTGGTTGCTGCTGTCACCCAAGAGAAATGTCTCTCATACAGAGCCTCTCGGTACACTGCATTAGCATATTGCTGCTGCTTCGCTTCCCTTGTTCGCAGCACACATGCTCTGCCGAAATCACATACTGGCAAAAGATCCCGCAGTGCAAAGGAGCCTATCCCTACACCCTTTCTGTGCGAGCAGCACGCCTTTCTCTACTGCTGTAGCTGCAAATTTAGTCCCTCTGCCACAGACCCAGCCCCGCAAGACAAGCGCTTGATCCAAAAGGTCTGTTTCCAAAGTGCACTGCCGCCTCAGTAACCTGCTGAATGACCTGAAACAGCCTGCGACCACCCCAGGCAAGTCACAGACAGCAGCAGCACCAGCTTAAAAAAATTAGAAGCATGCTTTGCAGTGTATTAATTTTGTTCCTTTCATACAGCACTGTACCAAAAGCAACAGTGATGCTAAGGGAACAGCTGATGTACTTCAAATCCTTTCCCCTTGAAAACTGGCTATTAAAGAATACAATCAACTCCTGTAATAATGAGGAGCGTAACAAGGTAGCCACAGTCCCACAACAGCCAGCAATTTTCAAACGGCAGAACGTGCAGAGCGACCTTCATCTCAGCATTTCTTACGATGCCCATGGATCGTAGGCACAGGGGCACTCTGTACTCACTGGAGACGGTGTCCGACTCCGGTTTACTTGCTGACAGGTCTTCCACAGAGGTATTGCTCCCTTCAGCACCCACACCACATCCTCGGGGCCCCATGGCAGTGGACCGTCTCCTCTCGTGAATCTCATCTGAGATCATCTCCAGGTTTTTCAAGGCAGTCTTATACTCTCCCTTTGCCAGGGCCAGTTTTGCCTGCAGGTCATCCACTGTTTTCTTCAGTTGCTAACAAGGAATACAGGTATTAGATGTGCTTTCATTACAAATGACGCATAGTACGCACTTCTCCCTGTCCACGCGACGTGGCTCTGCAGAGGCAAGCTAGCATAAACCAGGGTTGGTATCTAGGTGATGGGAGAGTTCATCCTTCAAGAGCACCCAAGCACAAGCAGTGGCACTTGTGAAGGAGACAGCAGCCAGGCAAACCACAGGAGCCCTTGGCTGCGACTGCCCCTGGGGTCCGGAGCAGGGGTCCCCCCATTAACACGCAGGATATCTCGTTAAGAGGAACACAGCTCTCAACAGCACATTGCTGCTTATCCGTCAACCACCCCTAAGGGTTTGCTGGCAGCCCCTGCTTGCAGGGCACAGCATGGCTGTGGGTTGTCCCTAAAGGGCCTAAGCCCAGCTCTCCGAGCACCAAACCCATCACTTCTCGGTCACTTAAACCTGCAGACCAGAAAGCAGCAAGCCTCAAGCCCTGACAGCTGGAATACAGCAGTTTCCGTGTCCCCAGGCACAAACTCGGCTCTACAGCAAGGGCAAAAGTGTTGTACACCATCTCCCAAAGGTAAAACACTGCTTGTGTATCTGTAGCTGTCTCAACTCTGTTTTATATTGTACATTAAAAGCAATCTGTGCTGTCTTTTGTATTTTTTATATATATATTTTTTTTTTTTTTTTTTTTTTTTTTCCTTTTGAAAAGGTGTAAAATTACTGAGGACACATAAAAGAGAAAAACAAGAGAGGAGCATTCCCAGTTGTGTTATAGTGCAGTCCTTTGGGTTGCTAATAAATCAAACTTCCCTCCATGGCAGCCGCCGCTCTGGAGTCCAGGATGGGCAAGGGTTCAGCTCCATGCAGCAGCAGTTGCTGACCACAGCTATGCAACCAGGCAAGACAGAGGAGCAGAGGGCAGCCCAAGCCTGGATCCTGGCAAGCAAAAGGTACACGCCAGAGTCTCCGAGGCTTACAAAGAGCTGGTGTATCTCAGGCATCCCAGGGAAGGGCTCACAATAAAGGTGTGGAACATACCTTGCACCCCAGGCAAGGAACAGGAATCTTCTAGCTAAGCTCCTGCTGACCTAGCACCCCGCTGGAGCCTTGCTCCACCTGCAGCCATTGGTGCAAGGCAACGTGCTCCACTTAGACCCTGCGCGCATCCCTCACACCTACAGCACCAGCCACTACCCTTCAGCTCAGAGGAGCCGGGCTCCCAGGTTTTGGGGGCCACATGCAGCAAAAGTCACTCAAATAGAAAGAGCGATTCTTGCACTTGAATTTTTTAGTGCAACTTTGCTCTCCCACCCCTGGCAGCTCCAAGACTAAGGGCTGTAATAGCAGGGATTACCATCTCAGGCACAACTGCCATGCCCACCCCGGGACCACTGTGCCCTGCAAGGCATGCGCTGTGCCCAAGCACTGGCTGGACATCATTGCACCACACAGAGTGCAGCGCAGAGATGCCAAGAAAAGCCCCAGCAGCCTATCCAGCCAAACTCAAAATCAGAAATTCACATCTGTGTGGTGTTTGAGTACTACAAGTAGGTTACTTGTCCTGTTAATTGACCCAATCAGTGAACAGAAAACAGCACCCCAAGCACAGTTGAATAGCCTGATGCTTAAAACATAGTGGGGGGAAAAGCAACAAACAAACCCCAGAGACTTCAAACTAGAAGAATTAAAGACGGTCAAACTGTATTTGTTTGGTTCTGGCAGTAAGCAGCAGGACTCGAACACTCTTATTTCACACAAGGAAACAAAGCCTCTCTGCGTCTTTTATCTTTAAAATGTGCTTAGCAAATTGCTCAAGAGGTTTTCAATTGAATTGGTTTTGTACAGAAACGCAACACAGTTGTCGGTGCATTTTAGATGTAATTTCAGTATTTACTGTAAGCAATAAAGAGTTTCAGATGGATCTGAATTACATACATACCTCTAGCTGGACATAGTACTTTGCCTTGAGTTCAAAATAAGGTCTGTGGAAAAACAAAGAACAATTGTTTACAATCACTGGGACTGAATGCAGAGTACTGGAGTGGGAGTTGCTCTCTCCGTAGCATTAACATAGCTATTTGGTGTTTCACTGTAATCCCGAGAGACTACTGTCTAGATGATAGAACACCTACATGTGCTCTCAATGTCTCTTTTCCCCTCTAATATATCTATTTCTCATGGGTCTTTTGACCTAAATACAAATTGCAAAATTCCAGTTTTTGGAGTTGACAGCATAATTCCTTCAGGCATAGGTATCCTCTCTGTATCCGTCTAATTTTTGAGCCCACGGCACATGTAAATTCCCCACAGAAGGTGAACCTCAGAATTCCCCACGTTCAGCTTCCCTCCTGATGCACGGCTCTCCAACAGTTTGCTGGGACACAGAGGACAGTGTCACACCCCGTCTGTTTCCCACTACGGACAACAAAACTTGCTTATAAGGTTGCAGGAGGACAGGTGCATAAGCGGTGCAGTACAAAGCCTAGAAACCACGTTGCAGCTTTGAAGTTTTGAAGCCCACAAGCCAATATAATCTGATATAACAGTGGGCAGCAAAAAAAAAAAAATTTTTAGCAGGGCTCACTGCCCTCTTCATCTCTCAGAAGCTCTCCTGGAAAGTATGGGAGAGATAAACAATTAGATATTTTATATGAAATAGAATGTTAACTACCCTATATTTCTACCCTGACAGCAAGCCTCTTCTACGTTTTTAATCAACCCCCATTCCGTCACTAGGAGCGCAGAGCCAAGTCTGTGATGTTTCCAGCGACACTGATCCACTCAGACTGCACCTCTGCCTTTCCTCACAGGGACATAGCCCTGCCAAAGTCTACACAGATGGACCTGCCAGGCATGGTAAAACACCACAGTTGGGAGTCTGGATCCAACAGTTAAAGAACTCCTGTAGCTATAGCCCAAAGCAATGGGAGGGCAGAGACACTGACAAAACGGTGTTGTAAACTAAACAGTGAAATCCAGTCACCTCAAACGACCCAATTCTCTGCCTTTCTTACCCCAGTGCCAACTGGGAGGGAACAACCAGGCTTGAAACCTAACCTCCCATCACGTTCCACAAACCTAGGTGAAAGTCCCCTGTCTATCAGCAAACAAGCACGTGTGTTTGTGGTGTGAAAAAAATATATATGCACGCACACGTATGTGTATATGCATGTGTGTAAACACAAATACATATACATGCACATATGAGCAGGCACGCCTACAGGTAACAGGCAAGAAAGATGCCACCTAAGCCAGGAACAGGGTAGCACCAGCCTGACACGTAGGAGCTCAAACGTAAGCACTTTTCCTCACTCATCGCTAACACTCAGCCAGGCATCTGACACCAGCAGAAAGCAATGCACTGGCAGGGTGGGGACTCGCATCTCCTCGGGTCACTTCATGCTCTTACATCCACAACCCTGTGACTACTGAAACCTGGTCTATGACACAGCAGGGCTGGCGAATCGTTCACTGATGCAACTGGTGTCCTACATCATCAGTTGTCTAAATCCATGACATTGCATAGTCAAGCAAAGTGCTTTTTAAGTAGATGACAGGAAGAGTGAAAGGCACTTTGCCCAAGTCACTGGAGCAGAAAGTGACTTCCAAAAACCAGCTAACGCAGGCAAGTTCACTATCCTACAGCTCAGAGGCACAGAGCCAGAAGATCTGGCAACTGTTAAGAACATGCAGGCGTATACACATCCACAGCTTACAAGCAAGTAAGCACCCAGAAACAAAATTAAAAGCAAAACCAAACCAAAATAATCCAATAATCATCCGCTGATCAACTTTACACAGCAAATCAGTTAAATTACTTTCCTCCAGGCTGTGCCAGTCTTACTTTCAAACAGTAATTCTTTAAGCACCTTAATCCAGACTGACAGGAGGACCAAACACAAATAATTTTTTGCACGGAAAAGAGCAACTCATTCAGCATGTCTGCCCACAAGTTTATGGAGAGAGAGGATGGACAACACGGGCCCAAACATTACAGCCAACCCTCCCGCACCACCCAGGGAGAATGGCAGAGCACTTCCTGAAAGAGCAGCTAGTAGCCAGTTATACTCTACAATACAAGCAGCCACAAATTCAGCAGCCTCATTTCCCAGTTTTCGGTAGCCACTTGACAGCACTGATATTTTCAGCTCAGTTTCCATTTTCCTTTACGTGAAAATTGCAATGCTGATAGACGACTGACCTTTCCAACATCCCCATGTAGTATGACTTCAAAAACATCCACGATATGCCTGTTTGTGCCATCGGGCATCTTCCGCTTGAATACTAGGTTAGAATCAGCATTTCTGTACACCCCTTATTAAAGGATCTCCAAAACACCCTACCAAGGTGGTTCATGCTACAGTCAGCCCTAGCCGTGAGACAAAGAAATATGTTGGGATCCCTCCACACGAGCAAAAACCAGCTTGTCCTGAGGAGCATGACCCAAGACAACACCCCCACGAGGGCAGTTTCAGCAATGAAATGAAGACTCAGAAGGCAAATCGCACGAGAGGCAGCTGGGGCATCAGGCTCAGCACCATCGTTCTTATAAAATGTATGTAGGACCCCACTGACAACTTATCAGGGTCTTTATTTTAAATCTTACTGTAAGGAAGGAAGTCCTAACAGCAAAACCACTCCTCAGATATTGCTCTTATCCAGAGGAATCTGTCATTTAGTGATCTGTTTTTCACAGTCCCTGTGCAGTGCTAGACAAACAGCAGCTCATTCTACAAAGCCATGCTGCTACAGTGTTTCAGCAAACATGCTTGAATCTTCCTTGAGAAGTGCTAATCCTTTCTTGAATTGAACAAACACCAATCAAAATAGATTTTTAGTTGAACGATTTCACCAAAAAGTCATTTTTAGATGGAGGGATTAAAAGCTAAATACAGCAAGCAGATTGTTTAGATAAGCTACAGTCTGGAAATATAAAGAAAACGACTGCGAAATATAAAGAGGATTAAGAATTGATTGTAAACAGGGCCAAAATTTTAAAACAAGTTCTGAGCAAAAAGCTGTTTCGCTTCTCCGCAACAGCAAAACTGCAACCAAATGCAGACACATTTATTAACAGCGCTTGCTGCTTAGCTATGCTCTCTGAAGTGCATTTCCTTCCCCAAGAACAGCTCTTGCAGTTTTGCTACAGCAGCATTGGGAAGTACACAAGTCTGATGTACAGCATGCTGCACTGATGCAGTCTCACACCTTTCAGGTTTCTGTCACTTGCTTTGTTGCTCTCCTCACTAAAAATAAGAACTAAACTGCAAACGGTCCTAAGCTGCAAAACCTCTACGCACAGACCTCTGCAGCTCTGTAGCAAGCATTTATGTGAATCCATGACCCTGTTTCTCAAGTCACGCGCCACCAAAGGGTTCAATGCACAAGAATATGCCCAGAAAAGGTTTCTTATCTCACTTAGTTCACCAGTCTATCAAGTCAGGTGCTTTAGAAGACACAAATGCAAGGACAAATAGCGGGTACCAGTTGTGCTGTGAGGCTGCTGCATGCAAACAGGAGCCCAAAGAGGGAGGTACAAAATGCAGCATACTTTCACAAGTTGGAAAAACCCCACAGAATAAGTATTTCCCCCAAAGAGATTTCACCACCAAACTCATCTCCAAATGTAAAACATACTTTGACTTATTGATGGCCCTTTTCAGCTTCTTCTCCAGTTGTTTCATCCTTCCCATGGCAGCGTTGTATTTGGCTGCAGTCTCCTTGTGAACCAACTCACTTCTTGTTTTGGTCTGTTCTGCCTCCATGACCTTCAAGAGGGAAAAAACAGGTTGAGTGGCAAGACATAATGATTCGTTTCTTACTATTTTAATTAACAGCATCTTCATAACCTCTCCAATCAGCTCATGTCAGGAAAGCGAGGGTATAGAAAAAATTACTTTCAATGAACCTACTTAAGTCTTTTCTGAAAGGAGCAGCAATATGTCAGATTTGCAAACACAAGCTAGCAAATACTTCAAGCAATCATTTCTTCAAAGTTTTACAAACAAATGCTCACTGCCTTGGTATTGTACAGCAACTGGGAGTCTACAAAAGCAACAGGTAAAGTAAACGTCCCTCCATTAGCTGCTCTGCTGGTATCCCCTAGTCAGGCTTTCCCAGTAGTTCTATCCAGGGTACTTTTATTGTGCAAATTTCAGGTGTCAGAGGTGTATGTCAGAAAATTTGTTTTCTTTAATTTGCTAGCAGTCAAGATCCAGATAGGGGGATAACCAATTTGTTTAAAGTAAGAAAAGCGGTGACACCTCCCCACTTGTCTGGCAATGAGGAGAAAGCAGGCAGTTTTAAGGCTCCCTCTTTTGCAGCTGTAAAGGTATCCAACACAAAAAAATGGCAGGACTTGATTTTCTCCAGTACTGGATTTGGAAATGTCTCAGCTGTGAATCAGCTGCTCCACAACTTCAAGCAAATTTGCTTCAGCTGGCTCCCACCACCAGAACATGCATCTGAGCTCTCAGATCCAGAAAGAATAGTCAATATACCTTATTTTAAATAACCTCACCCACGAAGCTCTAATTTCTTGAAATTATCTTAGCCCTCAGGCTGAACTGAACAGGGAAAAGAGCACGGTCAACACTGACTTGCTTGGAGTGCTGGTCCTCTCAGGAAAACTGTGGTGTTGTCCTTTCTGATGCCTAAATGAAAGCATGATCCTGCTATATTCCACAGCTGAACTGCATCAGCATCAACCAGAAGCTCTTGCTACTAGTACTGGAGGCCACATTTTGCTCGTCTGCACATACCACTTATTATTAAACAAAGAGGTTGCTACAGAACTTTAAACTATGGGAAAGAAACGTTTCCTGAGGCTCTTTTGATTAGATATAAAATAATACACTCCAGCACCCTTCAACTATTTTATATATAAATAAAGCATCCATTTTTGAAGAAAGGTAAAAAAAAAAAAAAAAAAATCTATCAGATTCGTAACAGGCTCTCTCCTGCATCCTGAAAACAAGCTGCAGCCTCTTATCTTGAACAACTGTTCGAAACCTACGTTGATGCAATGACTTTCCCTAGTGAAATATGTCAGACAAGGCTGATTTTACTGTGGAAGTGTCTTAAAATGCAGTCTCCAAAGACTGCACAGAAGCTGGTTTGCCTTCTTTGTAGTGTGGCAAGGAAACTGCAATTTTAAAAATGCTGGAAGCTACAAAATAATAGAGCGGCTGGAATTTGCCAGTGCTCAGTTAAATGTCAAACCCTTGCATCCATTCCTGGGGCAAAATTAGCATCAACTTTGATATCTGGGATGAACCACATGATAAGTATTACCAGCATCAGGGTCATAAAGCAGGTTAGGTGTCACTATCACGTTGATTTTGCACATCTTTCACATTAAACATCACAGAAATGCTGAAACCTGCAGAACTGGGATTTGAGGATGACGGCTCGTAAAATCTGACAAAACATGGAATTTTTTTGCCAGCCATATATACCAATGTTCATTACTCTTTCCAGAAAGAGGAGGTTGTATACTTCATCCTTTTGAGAAATCAGTGATGTAAGGAAAACCATCTCCCCACATTCCCTTGTTTTCCTATGGGCATTCTGTCATCATGCTCAACACTTCCCACACAAGTCTGCGGAGAGGCCAGAGGCAGCCTGTCCCCTTCCCCCAGGACTGCAGCTCAAGGTGCATGCCTGAGGCTGAGGACAATACCTGGAAGATTGTGAGGTATCTCTGTGGAGATCCATCACCTGCCAAGATGCATGTAAACATTTCATTCAGACAAGAAGAAACAAAAAGATCATCCACTCCTCCACAAAAGCTAAGCGGCCTTTAAATAACAGAGAAGCTGTCCATCGGGGCTGGTGGACAGAAAGAGACTGCAAACCACGCTGCCACCTCTCCATCTGGGAGGTTCAACGTAAAACCAGCTAGGGAAACATCTCACCCTTTCAAAAGTTCTTAGAAGATGACCAACAAAGCTTGTGTTGAAAAGAAGTGCTTTTTATCAGACCTAATAATATGGTTTACACTGTCTTATATGGACTTGTAAACAAGCTTTTGGTCACAGTTGCCAAATAGGCTGTTTTGTCTAATAAAAGTCACTGTGCTTCTACCACCAACCTTGCCTTGCTGATGCTCCTAAGCTATCACAGATGCAACAGCATCACTTAGAAAAAGGCAGAGATAAAAGTGAGGGTGACACCTCTTCAGATGAAGATCGCTCAAGACACACCTCTCCTCCTTACACGGTACCTGCCATTCATACCCTTGGGGCGAGCAGGGGACTTAATTTTACACAAAAACATCCAGAGTAGGTGAACTTCTAGGATGTCCACACATTCACTGGACATTTCTGTAGCCCACACCTGTCCTGAATTACTAGATCACCTATTCCAGGCATAACTCATTCTTCCAGGCAGCACAGGCTACAAGATACAACTACTGGAAAACAAAACAAAAAAACCCAACACAAGTATCAATCAATTCCTCTTCTCTCCTTCCCTACCCTCTATTTCCAACCCAGATGCCTGGGAAAGGAAGGTCGGTGTAGAGTATCTATTTTTAGTGAATAGTCTGTACAAGTAGCTTTGTTCCCCCTCCAAAAGATTTGCATGATCTGGAGTCAAAGCTGGACTCCAGGCAAAATTTCAGTAATAACAACAGATGCAAAAGAAAAAATTATCAGTGAAATTAAGCAAAGCTGACCATCTAAGCTAGAGAATTACTCTGGACAACAGTTTCTTTCTCAAAAAATTAAATTGGTGGCTCTTCTAGGGGAAGAATTAGAAATAAAACAGGTAAGAGACAAAGAGCAATAAACAGGGAGGACAGAATCAACAATACAAGGGACTGCATTTAACCTCTGCATTTCCAGAGTGAAGTGACAGAGATTAGGGAAGGGAAGGATGTGGATATTTTTGTTGTTTCTTTCACAGCCTTTTCTTTCCCCCTTCTTTCTCCAAGTATTTCTATCTGCAGGAAGTATCTCTTCTCTCTACATCACGAAAGCACCCACACATTTTACACTGACAGATGGTACTTCACGGTGTAATATCAAAGGGAGCTTCACAAGCCGAATTAAACCAAAA